TTCCACTTGCTTGGAGAGAAACCGAAGTTTCTCTTTCTCTTCATGTAGTTTTGGGGCCTTTCTATATGTCCTCAGTAGACCTTGCAAATGGCAGTCCAGAGCTGCCAAGGTAGTGAATTCGGATCCTCTTAATATTTAGGTCTTATGCTGAGAATACACACACACACACACACACACACACAACCGTATCAGTGGTGGAAAATTTGCATGTTCCAAGCTCAAGCTTCAATTCCCACAAAATTAAAAGTTAAAGATAAATAAGTAAATAAGAAAAGGCTTAGGTTTAACATGTACCTGCTTCTACATCGTCCTGCATTTAAAGTATTAAAGTATTAAAGAATATGACACCCTGAGCCAGGCAAGGTGTCATATTCCTATACCCTCAGCACTCAGGAGGCTGAGGCAGCAGACTGGTAAACTCCAGGCCAGTATGGGCGAGATCAAGTAATGAAACACGGGCCAACACAAAACTCAGTAGGGAAAGCTGGTTGCCGCTTGACGCCCTGAACTCCATCCCCAGGACCCACATGGATGGAGAGAACCAGCTCTTGCAAACTGTCCTCTGATGTGTGTGAACACACACACGTGAAAATAAATTAAATTTTTGCAAAAAAGAAACAAAATGAAAATACACTGTCCTAATCAAAGCCATAGGCTCAGCCCAGATTCAAGATGAGTGTGAAGGCCCGGCTGTGAACCCCAGTCACCGGGGGTTTCCTGGGACCACTGGTTGGATGAGGATATCTCACTGATAGGAGAGAGGCCATACGGGGACGTGGCCCTGTCTTCTCTGCGGGCCTGGCCCTCTCACCTCCTATGTTTCAGTCTTCACCTTGTAAAGCATCTCTAGGGACCACACACTTTGACAGAGGGGCAGACACCTCTTTGGAGTCTTTCGAAAGGGAGAAGGACAGGGTTTCCCACTTCTCTCAAGTCTAGTGCATCAGCTCGAACTCCTGCACCCAACAGAGAAGTCCCCAAGTCTGGGGCTGCTTCCCGTGTTGTCTCCCCTGGGCGTTGACAGTCCCAAGAAAACACAAAGAAGGAGGAAGAGGAGGAGGAAAGAGAGGAGGAGGAGGAACAGAAGAAAGAAGGCTTATAGATTTGGCCAAGGTGTGTGTGGGGGATTCAAAAGATAATATTTCACGGATATAGCATCTAACCGTACTGCGGCGGCATGCTAAAGTTTGCCAACACGACCTCCTTGGCAGGAGCCACCCTCACTTTTACAGACAAGAGACTATGGCTAAAAGACAGGGTGGACGAATTTCCCCAGGACTCAGAAGTGCCAGGCTTTGAGGCCAGGTGACCTGCTTCTGGATCCCGGGGGGCTACCCAGGTCCCCTGAGTCACTGTCCTTGCTTCATTGGGGAACCCAGGTTTTCTTTCCTCCTCTTTTTTTTTTTAAGCCCTAAGTGGGGCTTTCCACCCTCCGTCTCAGCAGGAGAGTCAAGCCTCCCTGTTCATCACTCTGCCTAGTAACTGCTTCTAAGAATCAGTTAATTAGAAAATCATCCTTAGCTTGATCCTTCAAGTCTTCAACCAGTATCTCTTCTGAGTCTTCCTGTATCAATGTACACAATCACCACACACGTGGTACACACACACACACACACACACACACACCAAGAAGCGTGGCATATGCTTGTCTTCCCAGTTTGGAACATTTTGCCTAATGAGTATGTGACCTAAAATGACAAACAGTGCTGGGAATCACAGGAGGAATTCCCCCTCCAAGCTCGACACACACAATAACCCCCACAAATATAACCAGTAGTACTTACACCAAGAAGAAAAACCAACAGAGGTGCATGGCTTAGCTGAACGGTCATTTTTCTACCGCTTGAAGGTGCCCTGTGCAAAGATGCTGAATGCTGAGCACAAAGCATGGTATGAGTTGCTACCTGGGACACCGGGCAGCGGTGTGGATACTGGCCATGGGCGGAGTCACTATTGATAGGATAAACACTAGCTACACAGTGAAGGTTAGCCAGGAAGGAATGTCGACCCTGATGGGCCTCTGATGACCTCTACCATCCTTGACACCACCCTTGAAGAGAACCAGGTGTGATGTACTTCACACAGTATCAAAGCCTCTGCCTTTTACATCCTTGGGTCTTATCCAAATGAGCGGCCCTGTGGAAGGGAGTTTCTGCCTCTGCTATTCTTTCTGAGAACGTTTTGGACATGGCAGTATGGAGGAAGAAGGGCAGGGGGTTGTGGCCGCACCGAGAGCGGAATTCCTATTCAGAAGGTTCCAGCGGGGTCTCTGAACCAGTTCCCATTCTCTCATGCTCCCCAGGACGAGGCACGCCCTTGGCTTTCCTACTAATGAGGCGATTAGAGCCCAGGAAGGTGGCCTCACAGATGGTGGGACCTTAGGGGGGTCCTGGGCTTGCTTTCCAGCTCTTTCCTTGCCATCTTGAAGTTCTTAAACACTCTGAACAACAGACCCACGTGCCCATTACACGTTGTGTCCCAGATTGCGGAGGCAGTTCTGTGATACACGGAACCCTGGCACCTGCTGAGACACGGAACCCTGGCACCTGCTGAGACACGGACCCTGGCACCTGCTGAGGCACGGAACCCTGGCACCTGCTGAGGCACGGAACCCTGGCACCTGCTGAGGCACGGAACCCTGGCACCTGCTGAGGCACAGAAGCCTAGCTCCTGCAGCACAGAACCCTAGCACCTGTTGAGACACGGAACCCTGGCCCCTCCTGTGACACAGAACCCTGGCACCTGCTGTGGCACAGAACCTGGCACCTGCTGAGGCACAGAACCCTGGCACCTGCTGAGACACAGAACCCTGGCTCCTGCTGAGACACGAACCCTGTCACCTGCTGAGACACAGAACCCTAGCACCTGCTGAGACACAGAACCCTGGCTCCTGCTGAGGCACAGAACCCTGGCACCTGCAGCACAGAACCCTGGCACCTGCTGTGACACAGAACCCGGCTCCTGAGTCTGCACTTAAGAGCCTTCAGTCTCACATCTGTGAAAAGGGGCCAGGGGGAAAAGGTCTGTAACTTTGACCTTGGCCTTTTCTGCTCTGGGGTCTAAACTCAATTGTCCGATGGGGCCGACTGAGAGCTGTATGATCTCCCCCATTCATCTGCCACAGAGAAACAGCTTTAGTCTAATGGTTTTGGGTGTTTCTCCTCTTGGACCCTCAGAGTGCAGTGGTCCCCCTCAGGAGCAGTGACAGACAAGGAGGGAATGGTGGTACCCGACAGAGGAAGCTGCGGTGATAAAAGTACTCGGTGTGGTAAGGAGAGAAGAAACGGCACTTCCGGGGCACCTTATTTTGTGACCGGCACAGTTTTTGATCCTACACAAATGTGACTTGATTCCCTCTGTGGACAGAGGTATTTTCATTCTTGTTTTTCAGGCTCAGGTAAGTCACACAGTTGGTTTGTGATGAATCCTAAGAATTCAAAACAGAATCTTGGCATGAAACTGGAGAGCGAATATTTTGAAGCCCTCTTCCTAGATGCCAGGATCTCTGGAGGAAGAGTAGGACCCTGTGAGTGTTGCTGAATGGCGGGGAGCAGAAACAGCATTCCCGGACTTGTTCTGCCTGCCGGCTCCGACCTGGGGTGTGTGGCCACCAGGTGGCGCTGTGGTCCAGATGCCGCGCCAGAAGCACTACCCGTGAGGCTTTGGTCTAAGGCAGGCAAGAGGCTATATAGAAAATGTTCTGATGTCTCAGGTCACAGGGCGAGGCCGCCCCCTCTGTGTCCCCATCCTCACCCCAGAGCCTCCATCCCTGGCCCGTTTTTGATTTTTATTTTGTCTAACGCATCGCAGGCTCACCTCCAACCTGGCTGCCCCAGACCATCACGACAGCCATGATTCGGGCTCTGCCTCAGGAGTGCCGTGCCGGCATCACCGGTATGCACCACCAGCTTCCCTGCTCCAGTTGCAACCAGAGTGCTGAGATCTTTCCCTACCCTCCAACCCAACCCCACATCTAGGCTTGGTCCCTATCTTTAATTTTTTTTAATGTGGCTTTTTAAAAAAAAAAATTTTTTTTTATGAGGCCTCCGTCTTCCCCGCCTGAGGAAATACAGGGACTGGGACCCTTCCTCCTCAGCTCTTTCTGCACAGAGTCCAGAACATTCCAACAACGGGCATCCATCCAGGGAGTTGGATAGATATTCTTGCCAACGCAGTCACCATGGGAGATTTATTAACAAGAAACCCAGGACTCTGTGCCATTGACTCCTCACCCATGACCTTTCCTAAGTTCCGGTCTACCTCTCCTGAGGTGTTCTGATCCTCCACACAGTTTAAACTTTTTTTCAGCTAGGGATCCTGTGTGACCCCCGGGTCAGACACCCCAGGGGTTATACTCTGCAGCTCAGCGCAGTGCCTGGCATTGTAGGCATCAGCAAGAGACGGCTGTCCATGGAGATGACAGTGGTGGATACCTCTCTAGACTGGCCAGTCACAAGAACCAACCTGCCGACAACCCAAAGCCCCTAAGGAGCCAGAAGTGAGCTGTCACTCAAGTGTGAGGTCACTGGGGGTGTGCAAACAGGAGTTAGAGACCACAGCAGCTCAAGGCCCGTGACGGCCAAAGCTGACAAGAGGGAGCTGAGGGAGACTTTGGAAAAGCTTCTAAGGCACGTTAGGAACTGGATGTCCTAGATGAGAGAGAGCTGAGGGACAGGATACGGACAGAGTTCCACAGCTACAGCCGGAACCGAGACAAGGGTGTGTGCCAGGGCCTCGCGGCTGAAGATGCACAGACGGTGGACGGAGGTGGGTAACTTGGATGGGGGTAGAGAAAGTGAAGAACGTGCAGGCTACAATGCGAGGGTTAGCTTACCCAAGTACCTGCCTCCTGTATGTCGTCATACACATCCGACTCTGGAAGACTCTTGGCCTTTTAGGGAGAACAAGCTGCCCAAGGTGGGGTCTAGCTTGTCCTCGTAGCCCCAGTCCTGGTCCAGCGATCGTCAGCAAATTCCGGTGCAATGATGGGACAAAAAGCATTCTTCTATGTATTTATTAAACCAAGGACCACTCAGGGGCTGGGCAGAGCTAGTGTGGGAAGAAAGAGCTCTCACTGCCTCGTGAGCATCTCCGGGGCCAGCCAGAGTGCCCACGTGGTCACCGATAGCTGGCTTCTTCCCAGCACCCCCAACACGAGCCCCGAAGAGTCTTACAAAAGTGAGCAAATCCGTTTCTCTTCGTTTCCATCCCCGGCCAGCAGAGGTGGGGGTTAAAAGTGACAGTTGGTGAAGAAAAGGCAGTGACTCTTACAAGATGAAGAAGACAAAGGAAGGAACCCAGGGCCGGCGAACTGAGATGCGACCCCGGGGATAAACACAACGGGAAGGGGAAACCCTGTCTCTCTCTGCCCCACTCCTGGAGGACTGACGGGCCGTCAGCAAGTCCACAAGTCCCCTTGGAGCGCACGGCAGGACAGCCACAATTCCACAGACTTCTTAGGAAGAATCTTGAGGCAGGGTCTCTGGGGAGAATCTGCACCTTTCCAGTCTTGATGCTAGGGGGCCCCCACCTGAGAAACTGACGGGCTTGGGACTGGTGTGTCCCGAGCTTCTGAGGCTCTGAAGGGCGGACTGACCTTGCTCGTAGCATAAACTGGCCACTGGACCTAGAGTCCCCCCAACCCGTGACCTTGTCACGTGACGGGAAGGAGCACAGACAAGGTAACAGGGTGCCCAGCAAGGGGGAGGGATGGATGTCAGAGAGGAAAGTACACAGCCCCCAACCTCAGCAGGAGGCTGGGACCTCAGGTGAGCAGGTTTGCTGCTCCCAGTCCCTTATTCCCATCTGTCCTCCGAGGAGGCCGGATTTGATTTTCTCTCTAAATCCTTCTAAATAATTAAGTCTATCCAGGATTCCATGAGAATGGGGAAGAAGCTGGCCTCACGGGCCCAGAGCACAGACGACGTGAGAAGACACTGTGCTCAAAGGAACCCTCAGTCAGACGACCCGAGTCATCATTTGCAACGGTGGCGCCCACCCACCCTCTCACACCACGGGTCAGGTCAGCCCGGACCAAAGAGAAGGCACTTAGGGACAACTAGGGCAGGGGCTCGGGAAGGGACCAGAGTCTGGTTGGCATCCATGTCCCTCTGCTCACAGTTCCGGGAAGTGAGCCACTGAGACAAACGGGAAGATTTCGCTACTGGGTATAGGTCCCAGGTAGGAACGCTATCCCCGGCCCACAGCTTTACTGAGATGCCGCCACACAGGCCTGTGGACCCCCCACAGGCATTGGCACATTAAAATATAAGTTAGCTGGGACCTGAGCGAGCCCAGGACGACAGTCTGTCCAGTGGCCCCAGGCCACGCCATTTGTCACAAGATGTCTGGGCCCCTGGCAGCAAACTCCTGGGTGTCTCCACAGTGTAGGACTACCTTAGGGCTGAAGCCAGGCTGCCGGGGGTAGGCACCCTCCCGCACCAGGCGCCGGCACTGCACATCTTGGCCCACACTGACACTCTGTAAAGCAGGGAGGTGATGGAGCAGCATCTCAGGTAGGGGTACCAGGTTGGTACCCGACAGGTCTAGTTCCTGCAGCAAGCCCAGGCCCGAAAACACCTCGGCTCCTGCCCACTTGAGCTTGGGGTTGCCTGACAAGTCCAGGACCTGCAGGCCCGGGAGCTCCCGGAAGCCATGGGGTACTAACTGGAGGGCACTCTGTAGGCTGGCCAGGGACAGGTGGGTGAGGCCTGCCAGCCCCATGAAGGCACCTGGGTTGATGGCAGCCAGGGGGTTCCCATCCAGGCTGAGGTAACGCAGGGGCAGGTCTCGGAGATCGGGCACAGCGCGGAGCCGGTTCCAGGCCAGGTTCAGGCTTTGAATGGTGGGTGCAGACAGGCTGACCCGGGGCTGATGGGGGAGCAGGCGGTGGATAAGGTTGTGGGACAGATCCACGTGCAGTGCCCGGCCCTGGCCGTGGGTGGAGAAGGCAGATATGGAGACCTCCCGTAGTCGGTTATGGCTGAGGTTGACGTCACTCAGGGAGGTGGTGGTGAAAATCTCAGCCGGCAGGGCTGCCAGGCCGTTGTGGCTGAGGTCGAGAGACTCCAGGTAGCGCAGGCGGGAGAAGGCAGTGGGTGCGATGTTGGTGAGGAGATTGTGACTGAGATCCAGGCCTGCCAGTGTGGTATAGCCCGGCCCCCCCAGCACCGACTCATTCACCGTCTCCAGCCGGTTGGAAGACAGGTCCAGGTGGGCTGTGTCCAGAGGGATGGGCACAGGCACAATGTGGGGGCCCAAGCTGCTGCAGTCCACCCGAGTCAGGCTGAAGCTGTCAAAGAGGCCGAAAGTCTCCTCCTCACACTGGCACCCGGGAAAGCATGGCCGGGTGGTCCGCACTCCGCCGGCAGCCAGGAGCAGCAGGAACAGGGAGCCCCACATGGTGGCACCTGGAAAGAGAGCCACGGGTGAGGGGTGAATGTGCCAGACACGCTCATACTGCCCTGTAAGGCACAGCTGGGATGCACCCCAGCTCCTGAACACTCCTAACTCCTACCCTGATCATCTTTTTTCTGGCCTCAGTCTCCACACCTGCAAGGTTAAAGGGGTTAGGTCAGGGGAGCGGATCTTCAGCTGGGAGCATCAGATGCAAGCGGCCTGCTCTGGTTGAAGGGAGGGTACCCGGACATCTTGCCGTGAAACCTGCTGATACAGGGCTCAGAGGCTGCTGGGGAACCAGGTATGCTGGAAAGGCGTTCACAGTACAGGGGCCAAGTTAGGGGGCTTCATTAGCTTTGACCGAAAAGATGCCACAGGCTGGGCGCTGGGTCACCTCAGGGCATGGTCTCCTCCAACCCTCACAACCATCTACAAGGCGGGGTCCTGTCTCGATCTGACAAGGGAGAACTGAGCCTTGAAGGGCTGGAGCAAGCCTGGATGCAGCTAAGCTTGGTGGTGCCATGTGGAGCAGGCATGGATGCAGCTAAGCAAGGTGGAGCAGGCATGGATGCAGCAAAGCATGGTGGTGCCAGGTGGAGCAGGCATGGATGCAGTGAAGCAAGGCGGTGCCAGGTGGAGCAGGCATGGATGCAGTGAAGCAAGGCGGTGCCAGGTGGAGCAGGCATGGATGCAGCTAAGCAAGGTGGAGCAGGCATGGATGCAGCTAAGCAAGGTGGTGCCAGGTGGAGCAGGCCTGGATGCAGCTAAGCATGGTGGTGCCAGGTGGAGCAGACATGGATGCAGCTAAGCAAGGCGGTGCCAGGTAGAGCAGGCATGGATGCAGCAAAGCATGGTGGTGCCAGGTGGAGCAGACATGGATGCAGCTAAAGCAAGGTGGTGCCAGGTGGAGCAGGCATGGATGCAGCTAAGCATGGTGGTGCCAGGTGGAGCAGACACAAGAGCCAGGATCCTTTTCTGTCAATGGCAGGGAATGAGCCCACTCCTCCTGCAGTGACTGCCCTTATACCTCCCAGCTTAGCATCTTCCCCTCTTGGAGACCCGGTGTCTAAACTCCCAGAGAGGCTCGCGGGACACCCATCACCCTAAGCCCCTGCTTTCCTGCCTGTGCCCTACTCCCAGCTAACAGCTGGCTGACCGCTCTGTCCCCTCCCCCTTTAACTGCGAAAGGCAACTGGCTTGTTACCCCACTGTGCAGAAGAAATGGGGCTCAGGAAGAACAAGGACCTTGCCAACAAACTAGCACCTTGTTTGGGCTTGAATTACACCCAGGCCTGCTCAGTTCTTCTGCCTCAGTCTCTTGCCTCCAGCAGGCCTGGTGGGAAGCAGGGCAGAGTCCAGGAGGGACTTCCCTCACTGATGCTGCAGCTCAACCCACAGACCCACCCCTCGACCTCAGTTCCTTCTGTGAGATTACAATAGAAGCCATTACATAAGCCTGACACTATGTGTATGCTATCACATCTAAGGGTTGCCTAGGTCAGGCACACTCAAGGTCTGCGTTCACGTCTAGTTAAAGTCTTGTGTGCCGCTGTGCGGTTTCAGCATGGGCACGCACAAGAGGGTTATGCAGTGAGGACCTCTAAGTGGCCCCTCCTCCCTAGGCAGTCACTCAGGAGATAGAAGGCTCTTCACTGGGTGGCCTGCCCTCCTGCCTGTCTCCCTTTCATGGGCCTCCAGGGAAGAAGATAGGGTGAGGTGGGAGGGGTGAGGACCTGCCCACCTTCTAGACTGGGGGCAGGGGAGCAGCTGGGTAACACTGCCTGCCTTGCATGAAACTTTAAAGGGGCAGACACTTGATCTGCACCCTGGCTCTGTCCTGGGCCAGAGAGAAGTGAGGCTGGGCTCCTCTCCCCTACTCCACCCTGGGGCCCTTCTCATCCACCCCTTCCTTTCGTAGAGACCAATTTGAGGATTAAACCCTGCCCAGGTGCATCCTGGGCTTGGTCCCAGCCAAGGCAGGACAGAGGGTTCCAATGTTCGCACCAAGAGGAAAATATTAAGTTGCTCCAGGCCCCTTTTGTTCCTCAGGGAGCTCTTCAAGTGTTCATTACCACCACCCCTACCCCGCCCCCCAGCTAAGCGGATCTGTTCTTACCCACCCTCCTTGGGGGTTTAAACGAACAGCACAAAGGGTCCAGAGATTACCCTTTGGTTCCCAGAGGTGGTTATACAATGTGTCCACAGAATGCCAAGCTGCTTCTCCCGAACCCTAGCTTATATAACCGGCCGGGCAAACACGGCACAGATGTTTCTCTCCTCCAGGCCCCAGCCCTGTGCTCCACACGGGACGGCAAGGTCTGTCCTGGCAGCCTCACACAGGTCCACACCGTATCCGCGAAGAGCCGAGCACATCCCTCCCTGATGCAGATAATGAGGACAGGAGCACAAGCGGAATCCCACCTGACTGATACACACACTAGGCCAGGGCCTTGCTCTGCTGAGCCACAGACATCTCCCAGGGCCCCCCGCTGTCGTACTTAGACCCTGGGGAACTCTAGTGGGAAACAGGAGGTGACAGCCAGCTGCCCAGTGGGACCAACCGTCCCATCCCTGGCTAAAGGATCTGAAGAGTCACTTACTTGCCAACCTGTGTGATATGGAGACCCGGGGGGGGGGGTATGACAGTTCTTCTAAGAGCTGCTGTAAGCACTCTGTGTCCCCCTACAGGAGACATTCCCAGTACAGCCAAGGCACTGACGGATATACAGCGTGGGCCACTGTGTCTCTCCAGGCTGGATGGCGGACCGAGAGCACCGCCCACCCCCACATCACGCTTCGCCATGCTCCATCCAGGACTTGCTGGTAAAATAGCAATGGGGCAACTGTGTCGGGACAAATCCAGTCACTGTCCCGCCTGGACTGTGGCGGTCACCAGTCCTTTCCTCTCTGGGAAACTCTGTTTCCCACCTTCACAGCGAGGGGTTTAGTACTGATCCTAGCCCAGACCATGGGGCTAAGCCTTGCCAGGGTGTGAGTGGATGAGAATCTGAGGGCCCCTATTCATAGCAAATGCCATGAACATCTCGAACCCGGGAGGCTTAGGTTTCTGAGACTTTCACAGTTTTATTTCCAGCAGTTTGATCCCCTCATCTCTGTCCCAGCATGCCTGCGGCCCAGCCTCCAGTCCCTGGATCTCTACTCTGGGAGAGAACGCAATGCAGACATTCAGGCAGGTGATAGCAGACAGGCGGCCACCAAGGATGGCTGGGGGCCAGAGAGACCTCTGGTCCAGAGATCTTTTCTACAAACCTCGCTCTGCACATAAAAGACAGTCAAAGATCAACAGAAGAAGGCAAGATACTTCACACAGCTCCAGCCTGGAAGACGGCGGGCCCTGTGAGGCCCAACCATGAGCTATTGGGGGCCCACCATGTCAAGTCCACAGTGACTGAAGGCCAAGCATGAATGGCGTGAACGGGATGGGTCTGGCGGCTCCAGGGGGCTCTCTCCACATCACATCCCGAATCTGTCATGACCGAGATCATCTTCTCCCAGACAGACGGCCTCTGGAAGCTGGAGATGCCCTTCTCCCACCCCTGTCTGAATCCTCAAAAGGAATGAGCCCTCTCTGTCATCTGGGTAGCAACTTCCCCAACACACCCAGGGTTGTTCATGCCGTCCACGGACGCAGGGAATTCCAGGCCCTTGAGCTGCAGCGCCCTTGGAGACGATGGATGCCCGAGGCCCAGGGGGATGCAAAGGAAAGACAACAGGAGGACAAGGCCCAGGAACTGGAACCCACCACCTCACACAGCCCCCTGCATCACAGTCCCTGCCGGGGCCAGTGGAACAAAGCCATCTCTGTTCGCACAGTCTCCCACCACCCCTCCTTCCTGGCCTCTCACACCTCAGGCTACCAATAGGCCTCCTTGAGAGGCAACTGAGAAAATTCAAATTTCAAACATCAAGTGTGAGCCGCTCCCCTCCTTAACCTAGGCTTCCTTCCCCACCTGGGGTCGAAGTCAGACCTGGGCGCTAGGAGGCAGCAACAGAAAAACAGCAAGAAGCCATGTGGGTCGGCTACTAGACCAAGGGCCAGCTGGGAATCCAGCCCTGCCCACTGGAGCCTCAGAGTCTTCCACAGGGACAAGAAGTGACGGGCAGCTGGGGAAGACAGTGCCGGTGTATCCTGCTCCGTAAATGCTTAGACCCTGGCGGTCACCAACGGCCATGATTTTCTAAACTTTCTGGAGGTGGTGACTTATCCTTCATGTTCCACCAGGTTCCTGTACACAGAAGCAGGCACCCCGCGGGTCCATGGTTTCACACTGACCTCTCAGACACAGGTCTGCTGGTGAGGCCCCAGGCACACAGATGGTGACACTGTTACCAAAGGACACCTCAGCCTGTCCCAGGAATCCTCAACTGTTAGCTTCGGTCACCCTGCGAAAACCAGGAAGTTAGATGGCATTGCACTTGTCTTATGGCTGTTTAAAGATTCTAGAGAGGTTCAATGATTTGTCCAGGGTCTCACGGTCAGTGAGGAGAGAAAGGCTGGACCCACGTATTCTGAACAGAGCACCTGGCCTCCCTCACGACATCGTAGTTACAGGTGGGGCCTGGAACTTCAGCACCCTCCCACCCAAGGAGTACCAGCTGCAGGGATACAGACAAGGCTCAGACGCTACCTTGTCCTTCCAGCTGATCTCTGGGAAAACTGCCAGGATCCCACCAATCTGAAACAGCACGTGAGAACACAGGGAGAGGCTGTACGGGGCAGAAGAAAGGTTTTGCAGCCTGGGTAGCAACCTCGCAGGCTTCCAAAGACTGTGAGGACCGAGTCTGGTCTTGCATCATAGAGAGGAGCCCCATGCTGCTCCCAGCCTGGCCTGTTCCGACTACTTAGGGAAGCAAGAACTTAGCCCGCCGGCACCAGCGGGTCTCAGCGCATGTTCAGTCCTGCCTCTGTGGGTGACTGCAGGGTCAGGGAGGAGATGCTAAAGACACACAGGACGGAGAGCTCAAAAGCCATCCTTAGAGGCCTTGGAATCTCTCAGGGTCCCATGACCAAGCTCCTCTGGGATCTGGAAGTCATGAAGGCCAGAGGAGGCTGCAGCAATGGTGCCACCTATGACCGAAAGGGAATCTGACATCAAAAGAGCAGTCACCCCTGGGCCAGCAGGGTGCTGTGTCTCTCCTCTTCCTCAAGGGGGGTGGCCACCCCACCCTACCTAGGTCAAACTCAGGACACCTCTGTAGCCACCTGCCCTGTGGCCTCCACCTCTGAACACTGCTATAGCTCCGAACCACTGCCCTGCCATGCTGGACACTAGAGTACAGACAGCTTCCGACTGAAGATCAAGACCCCACCGCGGTGCCCCATCTAAAACCCATTCCACAAAGACAGCCTCTCAGGCTAGAAGCCTGTCACTCCCCGGGGACCTCTGCCTTTGCATAGGCTATTTCTTTTGACAAAGATGGCAAAGCCCCACACCCCTCCTTTTTTTGGTCTTCCACAAACTCTCAATTGTTAGACTCAGAAGCTACCTGTTCTGTGAGGCCTTCCCAGCCTAACCCAGTCCTCATCCCCTCCCCCCCAAAGGCTCACTGGGCTGTGACTGTCGAGGAACATGTCTGGTGTCCAGCTCCAGTGTGGATACTAGCATGGTGGGGGGGGGGGGGGCTAGAGGAATAAAACGCCACGGGCAGAGAGGACTCCTTCTGCTTCGGGGCCTCCTGGAACTCAGAATTCGGCTTAGCGGTAAAACCAGGTGTAAGACCGAGGCCCAAGCCACTTCTGCCTCCACTTGTGTTCGCACAATGCAATCAGACACCCCAAAACCACATCTCAATCTATTAGTGTGTGTATCATCTGCCATGCTATTTAACATCCGCAACCCATCAATCCACAAACTCCATTTGAAGGAGACTAAGGATCTGACAGGAGACAGAGGGAGGAAGCCACGGAGCAAGGACACAGCTCCCAGACTTTCTGACTGGAAGACATGCAGACTCCGGCACCATCCGCAAGCCAGGGCCAGGCTTTATACTGACCAAGGCCACCCCTTCCTCCAGGAGTTCTCTGCAGTCAGGTTCACTTCAGCCCAAACTGATGCTCTATGATTCAGCCACTGCCTCCCCTCCCAGCCTCTGAGTAACTCCCACGCCTTAACACCCAAACCTTGCCTCCCTGCCCCCGCCCCTCCCCCCCCCCCCCCAAACAAAGGCAACCACCTGTGTGTACCACTTCCAGGACACGCACAGCCCTGCATGTACTGTGGGAGGCTCTTCCTGGCTCGGCTGTGTATTGGAAAACTTCAAAACCCTAAGTGGAATCATGCGCCCTGCCAGGTCCCTCCCGTGGCCCCTCCTATGGAACCTGGAACTTCCAGGGTGGGCCCAGACCTCTTCAGGAAGTATCCCCAATTCCTAGGCTGGGTGCCCTGAGAAAGGATGGTTGAATTCCAACAGATACATCGCTTCTGCTTTGGGCCAGAAGTAATGACTAAGAGAACTGGTCTGGACTCTGTCTCTTGACCAGTCTGTCATGTAAAAATAAGCAACATCAGCTTTGGCCTTTACACGGGTCAGTGCAACAGGGTGGGTGGGAGTCCTGTGGACTCAAGTTCCCCAAGACAGCGCATTCCAGCTCTTCCTAGGAACAAATTAATGCCTGGGAACACAATAGTTTCCAGGCTCTGGGATCACAAGGGAGTGATCACAAGGCACTCAGTACTCCCTCTTTCAAGAGGAAGGACTAGAAACGAAAAGTGGCCATCCCTGCCTCTTTCCCAAGTTTGTGGCCAGCTCGTGTCCCTCCGCGCTCTCCTCCCCAACCCCCCCCCCCCGCCGCCGCCGCCGTAGTACTGGACCAAGTTCTTGGTTAAAGATTGGGGTGGAGGGTTGGAAAAGAAGTGTTTGGCTTATCTTTGCCACCCAGGATCAAAAGCCCAGGCAGAACGGCACCCCTCCCACTCTGAGGGCTTTGTAAGTCTAGACTTATCCTAAAGGATAGCATGGAGCAAGGAAAGATCTAAGTTGAGTCAGTCGCCTCTGGCCTGGCCAAGTGTGGGCGGGCGCTGCTCTCAGCTAAGCTCCCGACGCTGGTTACCACCACTGCGCGCTCTGCTCCAGAGGCGGCGAGGAGTTCTTACCCCCATCTTAACAGTGACCGGATCTCAACGGGGCTTGCCCTACCCCGTGGAAAGTGTGCAAGGCCCCCCTCTCCCCAGAGCCCATCCGGGGTTAGGGGTCGCCAGCAGGCCGAATGCAAGCAAGCTTTTGCCCTTTCTCACCTATGGGATCGGAAGCTTGGTCCTCTCAACCCTGGAGTCCGGATAAACGTACAGCGGTACTCGAAACCAAGCAAGTCTCTCCACCAAACTGCCAGGTTCCTCCATCCACACTCACTCTGTCCCAGAGGCGCAAGGCAGACATCGGCCAGCAGCGCGCTACTCCGGGGTCTCCAGCCTCAGGCCGGAGCCCGGACCAGCCGAGTCCCTCCCTCCTCCCACTAGGGTCCTGTGAGGGTGTCCAGCATGCTCCGCCCAATCCTGGCCCGGGCCAGTCGCCAGGGACTGCAGATCACCCCCGACCCACCAATCCTATCCCACTCCCTGGCTGCTCGAAGGACCTCCGGAGGTGAGAGAGAGAAAGGAGGGCTGCCAGCAGGCGTTGCCGGAGGAACCCAGAGAAAAGTTTGAAGCCAAGTAGGGGGGAAACAGTGGACAGCAGGGGAAGCGGAGAGTCGGGGCAGCTCTGGCTCTGAGCGCGCACACATGCCCCACGGACACCCAACCCAGACACGTCGACAGGCACAGACCACGTATGCGGACACACGCGGAGCGCCCACCGGTCCCCACAACCAAGCGCCAGGCTGCGGAGCGGGGATACTGGCGCGAGACAGCCGTGCCAAGCCACGCACACACAAAGGCACCGGCAGATGCTGGCTTCTGAACCCAAATCCACCAAAGACCCACTCCCGTGAGATGCACGTGTTCCTACAAAGACCCTGGAGGCGCCGGCCCACGCCCACGGCCCCCAGGCGGAGTCTTTGTCTCCTGAAAGCCCTCTCCCCTGCTGCTCCCCCTCCCCCGACCCTGCGCCGCTGTGGCCCGGTGTCCCGGAAAAGTTGAGGGGCCTCGGCGGGACCCGGACCCGCCCCTCGCGCCCGCCCGTCCACGGGATGGGGCGGCGAGGTTGGAGTCCGAGGCTCCAGACATCCCCAGGCACGCCGACCTCGCTGCGCCTCGGGACAGCACCCACCTGGCAGGTCCACAGCTGTCGCCTCGGCACGCTCACCTAGGCGGCCCGGCGCTGGCCGGTGGGCCGGCGCTTGCTTTTCTCCGCGCCGCACGTCCCGCCCCGAGTCCCCGCCCGCCGCCGGGCTCCCCTCGCTGGGCACCCAGTGGCTGCCCCGGCTCGCCGCCAAGAGGCTCAGGGAGCGTCCTCAAAGTGCAAGTCTAGCAGGGCGCTCTCGCCGCCCAGCCCCCGCCCGCCGGCCGAGCACGGGTTCCACCCTAGGGAGCGTCTCAAAAGTGCGCGGTTCCCTCCCACTCCACTAAGATTCTCTCTCCGAGCTTCCTGCAACCAGGATCCCTGCCCCCTCTGCCTTCCCCCTTTGGGCGGCCCGGTAATCTCAGCAGATGGCCGCTGGCTTGGGAACATCTGGAGGTCGCCAGAGTGTACGTGTCTGTGTGTGTCTGTGCGCGCGCGCGCGTGCACGCGTGCACGCTGAGTTAGTTGGTAAGAATGGGTGGATGAGGATTTTCTCTCAAAATCTCCGCCCTCCCACTAAAAAAAGTTTAAAAAAAGGGTCTCGAGCCATTAATGTGTGTGTGTGTGTGTGTGAGAGAGAGAGAGAGAGAGAGAGAGAGAGAGAGAGAGAGAGAGAGAGAGAGAGAGAGAGAGAGAGAGAAAAGAGAGCGAAAGCTGGCAGACAGCAAATGAGGGAGAAGCAACAGACGTAACAGACTTATTTTTTCTTTCCTGGAGGGAATGTCAACTTCTAGCTGCATTTCCAAGAAGGGAAACTGCTCTGTAGTAGCGGCTTAAGACTTTCCCTCCCTCTGCAGCCTTCCTCTCCAGCCGAAATTTATGCAAGAATAATATATATACATCGATATACGTGTGTGTGTGTGTGTGTGTGTGTGTGTCTCCAGACAATGCCAAACTTCAGGGAGCACTTCCCAATAAAGGGTTGGTGGGAGGTTTTGTATTGATTCTGGATCTCCAGGAGCTTGCCACTTTGGAAAGGGCCCCTGGGTGGGGGAAATCCAGCAAGATTCCCCTGCCATGGCCCAAGCTTGTTTCTTTCTTCCTTCTTTGAAAACAAAAATCTTTGCTTGGGCTTGTTTGTGTGTGCCTGAGGAAAAGGAAGCTCTTAGTCGGTAAAATCAGGCTCACACCCAGAAGAAAGTGGATTTTCAGACCCTTGCCTCGTTCGGGGTCGTGGTGTGACCGTGGGGACTCGCCTGGGGCTGAACCCTGCTCCTTAGGGGCCCACCTCTGTAAGTTTCCCTGTTACCCCAGTACTGGGGAGGTGGAGGCAGGATAACTATCTGCTTTTAGACAGCCTGGCTACAGAGTGAGATTGTCTCAAGAAGCCAAAAGAAGAAAAGAAGCCGGGCGATGGTGGCGCACGCCTTTAATCCCAGCACTCGGGAGGCAGAGGCAGGTGGATCTCTGTGAGTTGAGACCAGCCTGGTCTACAGAGCTAGTTCCAGGACAGGCTCCAAAGCCACAGAGAAACCCTGTCTCGAAAAACAAAAACAAGAAGAAGGAGAAGAAGGAGGAGGAGGAGGAGAAGGAGGAGGAGGAGGAGGAGGAGGAGGAGGAGAAGAAGAAGAAGAAGAAGAAGAAGAAGAAGAAGAAGAAGAAGAAGAAGAAGAAGAAGAAGAAGAAGAAGAAGAAGAAGAAGAAAAGAAAAATCCCATTGTCCAGGGGATTTCTGGGGGCTCTTCTCGCTGTGGCCTCATCTGAGATCTAAGATGCATCTGTGTGGGCAGGGTCACCCTTCCAGCTGGGCTGCTGGAGTTTAGTGCCTAAAGAGTGGGGATATAAGGGGAATGGTACGGGGTCGGCGAAAGAATTCACCATTATACCAAAGTACACTGGGAGAATTTAAGGGGAGGAGGGAGTAACAGAGAATCATGTGTCTGCAGCTACACTTTATTTTTAAAAAAATAAAATTGTATGTTTATTTCATTGATCACGGGATATACCTGTCTGTGTGGAGGTCAGAGGACAGTTTGTGGGGCGTCATCCTGTTCTTCCACCACGTGGGCTCCAGGGATGGAACTCAGGTCACCAGGTTTGAAGGAAGGTCTCTTACTCACTGAGCCATCTCACAATCTTCTTTGATGAGGGTGACTCATCATGCCATTCCCAGCACACAGTTTCCACCATACAAACAATTACAGTTCTGAGGGCTCAGTGTTCGATTCCAGGGGGAGGCAGACTTGAGAGGGAGCAGCTCTGCAGCCTTCTCGCTTAGTGAGAAAGAGTCCAGTTTAGGGTTGTGACTGTCTTGATGATCATTAACAGTCTCAGTGGTTGGTTTCTGAGGTGTAACATACTGGCAAGATGTTGAGTTTCGGCCGGGCGATGGTGGCGCACGCCTTTAATCCCAGCACTCAGGAGGCAGAGGCAGGCGGATCTCTGTGAGTTCGAGACCAGCCTGGTCTACAAGAGCTAGTTCCAGGACAGGCTCCAAAGCCACAGAGAAATCCTGTCTCAAAAAACCAAAAAAAAAAAAAAAAAAAAAAAAAAAAGATGTTGAGATGTTGAGTTTCAGGGCTTAATGAAAGATCTATCTGAAGGAATGACCTCTTCTACATAGCACCGTAATGGGCTTGAGATGGGTCTCTGTTCAGGAGTGATAGGAGACCTCAGGAATGCCACTGAGAGGAGAGTTAGCCAGGACTGTTGAGTTTCTTGTATTAAATTATTTATTAAGGGGCCTCTTTAATGTCTGAACCCTCCCTGCCTTCTAACGTGTGTATCACACAACATTCAAGTTAGACTTTATTTAAAGGCCTCACTAGTCCCTTGTGTCTTGTTTCAGATGAAAGCTGAGCTATTTATCATCTGACTATCAAGAGGAAGGGAGACCAAAGTTGTAGCACGAATTCTAATTGCTATTAATAATAAAAACTCAGAGTCAACTATCTAGGGGTGAAGGCTGAAAGATCAAAGAAGCAGAGTGGCCAGCCACTAGAGTTTTAACGCTACCAATGCTCAGACCGAAGGGGCAATCCTGTCCTCAGACTGCACTGAGCTCCTGTCTCCTCCCACCTTACATCCCTCTCTCTGCCCAGCCGTAACACTCCTGTCTCTACCTCCCTAGTGCTAGGATTAAAGGTGTGTGACTCCCAAGTGCTGGGATCACCTTTGTGTGAACTCTGGTTCTCTTTTAAACTAGACCGATTTTGTGATTTTGTGTAGCCCAGGGTGGCCTTGAACTCACAGAGATCCATCTGTCCTCCTGAGTCCTGGGATTAAAGGTGTAGGCCATCACTGCCTGGCCTCTAGTGACCTAGCTCTGCACTCTGATCTTCAGGCACGCTTTACTTGTTAAAACACAAACAAAATATCAGTACACAAAGAGAGAGATTACATGTTCAAGTGCTGTTGTGCCCTTCATGGTCTTTCTAGACTCAGTGGGAAAGGCTTTTATACAGCCAGTACAGGTAATTGCTAAGTTGCCCATGTGCCTCTGAATAACCTTTCACCTTTGCTTCCATAAGCAGCCTTGATTAAACTCACTGACTCATCAAAACAAAATAAAAGGTGGGGGTGGTTAGATGGGAAGAAAGAGACTAGGGAATCCGTGCTAAGAGCGTGTTTGGGTTCAGCAGCAGGCAGGGACCGCAGCCTCGTTGACTCAGGTTCTTACACTAACCTGTAACTGCTGTCTGGTCTCTCACTACCAGTGTGGGATGTCACAAGGGAAGTCACAGGGGCAGAGTAGACCGGTGGACACACCTGGACTTCTCGCTTGAAGGAAAGGACACCTGGGAAAGTTGGAAATTTTGAGAAATGTCTTGTAGAAGCATCACCTCCACTTCACAGACCTGGAAACTGGGACTCCTTGCTCCTCCGAGGTCACACCAGCGAAACCCCCAATTGGCTCCGTGAGAATTCACAGTCCTCTACTGTAAAACCCGGTGTGGGCTCTGCCAGTACCTCAGCCATCACTGTGTGATGAACACTTCTCCCCTCCTGCCGAGCTGAACGTGTCCCTAAATATTTCTCTCCCACTCTCTCACCTCCACGCCTTCCCCCTGTCTGGAAGACTTTCTCGGCCCAATCTGCCAGCTGCGGTCCCTGCTATATCTTCTGAAGCTGCCGCCTCCTTCGCAAAGACATTTCCATTTCCCAGTTTCCCTTCCCCTACATGGGAAGCGCTTGTTTGATGCAGACTGCTCTTCAGCTCTGTCTGCGGCCGGCATACTCTCTTGCCCGGGCACTGCATCTTGACAGATACAGGTGTTTGCTCTTTCTTTCTACAGAGCCCCCCATGCCCAGCTCATCTCTTACCTTTTCAGGTAAACCTCTTTCAGGAAATCCCCTGCCCCTGGCACCCCTACCCTTCCACCATGGAGAACCCTTCCTCTGCTGCCACGGGGTGCCAAAGATACCTCTTTGCAAACACAACGATAAGGCGTAGATTCTGGAGGCAAACACTTCTCAGGTTTGAATCTCAACCTCAGAGCAGACAAGTTTCCCACAGCAGCCTCCCCCCCACCCCCCCCCACCCCCGCCTTATGTTTCTCTTCTGTAACGTGAAGAAATAATGTGTACTTGAGACACTGTAGTAAGGATTAACGGATTAATTCATGTTGAATGTGTGGATCTGTGCCTGGAATATAGCAAGCTCGTGATGAATATTAGCTACTTCTCTTTGATTTATTAATTCATTTGACAGCACTGGGAAAAAATATTTGTAAAACTGGACAGGAAAGACGATTCTGGGAAGCCTGCAGAAGAGGAAGCACCAGAAATCTATCTCCCAAATGTCACAACAATTGATTGTTGGATTCTGTCTGCCGTGCCTGCTGTGGAAATCTGGAG